CAATAGTACCGAAATAAAACAAAGTGTGTGCATGTCATCTCCCTCACTGAGAGCAATCTGTGTGAAATGACCAGAGGCTGCTAGTCAGGGACATCTGCTCAGCCTAAAGTAACGCTGCTTGCTTTACTCACACAGATTGTGATTTGTGACTGAAGAGCGGCCGTATGCTCGCAGCGCGGTTACACAACCACAGCGTCTGGAACCTAAAGGCCGACCTGCTCCTCTGGGTCGACAACTCACGGGGCGAACCAACGGCCGTCTCTTTAATCTGCCCTCCACCACTCGCACATTGTGCCGAGTTATCGCCGCGTTAATTCGCCCCCCCGGCCCCATCTCGCTCGGCCCGGCCGTAATCTATAATCTGCTGTCTGTGCAATAACACGTGGATAGATGGTGACCGTGTTTAAGCTGCGGCCTCAGAGGCGAGCTGCTCGGAGGTCGACGGCTCGACACTGGCGGGCTAATGGTGCGAGACGTACCGATGCTGAATAACTGCATCGGGGACCTTTTGAAGGTAAACAACTAAAACAACAACTAAACAAAGAAGAGAAAGGAGAGAATCGGGGATTCAACATGTGTCGGCACCCCTGTCGGTGTGGCGAGGTGATGCAGGAAGCACGCTCAACTCGCTCGATCTCTCGACACACGTATCAAAGAAACAGCCATCTTTGTTTTCTTCTGACCAAACAAGTGGACAATATCAACAGAAAAACAAACTTAACTTTTGAAAAGACAGAAATGTTCTGGCTGATTTAAGAGATTTTTACGTTCGTGTAGGTACATATATATTCTAAGGGGAGAATTTGAGTGAATTAGACATTCCAATTGATATGTCAATAACTAGCACAGACTGTACATTGATATGTTTAAGAAATTGTGCTGTTTAAGAATTAGTTTTCTCAAGTGTAGAATACACGACGCAGCCGCTCAATAATCTGCTGTCTGTTTCAAAGTTTTACCCATTTGAAAATGTTGAGTACTGCTCACTTTCTTCCCCCTTCTCCTTTTTCTGAGCGAAATCCTCATTTTCTCAGGAGCATGTGGCTAATGATGCATCTCGCTCGGCTCGTCACACCAATTAAGTCAACTGTGTAGGTTTCAGCAGAGTCAGTGTCAACAGGCCGGATGCAGTAATGAGGGTGAAGCGGCCGTACAGTTAATCTAGAGAGTTACTTTGCACAGTTTGGTTCTCATTTAAATGATCTCAAGGCAGCATTAATGGGAAAGGGAACCACAAAGATTGAGGGGCTAGACGTGTTACTGCTTCTCTACACAGCCAGAGTTTATTGGATGTTTGTGTGGAAAGTAAAGCTCCTTGGACATCGCTTTCAGACACGAGGTAACAGTGACTCACAAGTTACTGAGGGTTTATTATTTATGCCTTTTATTACTACTTTCTTTCATTACATTCCAGTCCAAATTAAAAAAGTATTCAATTTGTTCCACAGAAAATGAATGTGCAACTATTTCAACATAAAAGAAAAAGCACCAATTTTAAGACGTCACATTGAGCTTTTATAAACTGTAAGGGAAAATGTATGAAGTAATCATCAGATTATTTGATAATAATGGAACCTTTTCAGATTTTTTTTCCTTCAAATGTGACGTACGTAACATTGAAAAATGTTGCTCATAGTTAAGTCAGACTTTTTTATTTTTGAGAGCGGGGTCTTTTAACATTCCCCAAATGGGAAAAAGAAAAAACTAATATCTCACAATCAACTGGATGGAAAATATCCAATAAGGCAACATCTACGTGATAAATCACACATATGGTGCAGGATGTAAAAAAAAAGAGCCATCTGAAATACATGAAACGCATGCAACCGCTCTGCAGTGTTATTAATGAACGGGGCAAGAGACAGATGGAAAGAGGATCTGCCAAAGAGAGAAGAACTGCAATATACCCAATGCGAGGCTTCATTACCCTGATCCCACTCAACAAATCCGTCACTAAGATAGCTGGAAAAAAAACAGGGATTTTTTTTTTTTTTAAGGGACTTGATCTGGTCAAACATCTACGCCTGTAACCCTCATGTAATCTGGTTGTGAAAACCACATTGTCTCTCTACGGATGAGTCACCTTCATTCACTGGCTGCGGAATGATCCTTGACTGATAATACAGCGCCGATCACCACCTACGCTGCCCGATGTGCTGAATGAAAAACAGAGAGATGAGAGAGCACTTTTCACTCAAATGCTAATGCAAACATCTCTCCCGTCTCTCTCTTCTGCAAGTGCATCAAAGCATCCGCCGGACGGATGGCGCCATTCACTCGCAGAGGCTGACACGAGGGTCACTCACAACCCACAGTGCAAAGGGTGTATGTGTGTGTGTGTGTGTGTGTGTGTGTGTGTGTGTGTGTGTGTAGGACAGCCAGTGTCAGACCCCCAGGCCGTGTTCATGAGAGCCATGACACCACACTGGTTCAGGAGGAGGAGTGGATGGAGGAGTGTGATCAGAGCGATGAATGGATGGATGGGTGTTGGTGAGTCATTCCCTTTGAGGAAAAACAGGAAAACACAAGTTTCACTCCAAAGCAGAGTCCCAACACAGAAGTAGTTTTGCCTACAGACAGAGATTTAACTATGCGAGGAGCACATGTTGTGCACAAACACCTCTGCCCGCTCATGTGGTCGGTAGCTTCCCTTCCTCACTAATACTGTCCCCTCTTTATCTCACGGACACACACACACCTCCCCCTCCACATGCACGAATCAATGTTTTTGGTTGTTGTTTAGATATTAGGATATCATATACAATACATGGTATTGATCTGATTAGTATTGTTGGAATTGCTGTCACTGTTATACTTTAAGGATGATATGAATGCATATGAATATAGAATACCCATACAAGAAAGGCATGGATAGATAGAATAGAATAGAAACATTATTATTATAACGACAACTGCCTCCATGCAGTCTGTAATCCTACACATGCTATCTATTCAGCAGAGCGCAATGGCCCCCTGAAGGAGTCGTCTGTGTGTTCTACAGTCATTTAAAACCAACCATGCTGCATGGGAACTGTTTTAATTGAGAAAAATGGTCAAAAACCGAGAAATAAGTGTTTGTGTCCCATAGCGTGTGATCTTTGAAAATTTAAAGAGGTGCGTCTCTGAAGAGCTCTTTATTGGCTCTGCATCAAAGCCAGTTGGTGGAAAATGGCACAAAAAGAGGAGAAAGAAAAAAAAATACACAATGGGCTCCTGAATGCAGGTGTCTGTCTGTGTGTGTCTGTGTGTGTTTGCGTGTATGTGCGCGAGACAGAGAGAGGGAGACAGAGATGAATAGTTGGGTTGGAAGATACAGAGAGAGAGCAGAGAATATGAATAGTTGAATAAGAACAGAGACAAGACTCATGGGTCTGGAGAAGAGGAGACGCCGAGCGACGGCCTTGATAGAAGTTGTTTGCATACGAGGCATTAAAGAAAAGTGCAGCCTCGGATGCCACAGTCTCACTAAACGGCATTGATCTTTAGATGTTTCAAACACTTCGACGACTTCTAATGTTATTTAATGAGGAGAACTTTAGAATTGCAGCCAGGAGGTGCCGAAATAACCTCACAGTTAATTAAATGTCTTAAGACGTAGAATGCTACATGGTTCTTGCTCATGTAAACACTACAGAACGTTGGTGTGGGCAACGGGAACATTCATTAGGCTGAAGCTCGAGGAGCGTCTAATTGTTTTTGCGTTGTTTTTAGTTGTACAGTAGAGATGCAGAGAGTACCGCTAGTAAAGGTGTGTGGTGGAAGAAAGGTTTTATTGAACTAAAAGTAAAGGTGCTACAGCGGAAAAAATACTTTCTCGTGTAAAAGTAAAAGTATTAACATCAACAATTCCTCCACATTAATACATATTACTACTTATTTAATGATGCAATGCAATGTCATTTTAATGTATCTTGTCAGGTGAATTAAAGGATTCTCCAGTTGACGGCAAATGTAATTGCTACTAAAAATGGACAATGCATGCGTGTTACAAACACTGATATGTAAACAAAAGGGAAACCTAATTCAATCGTCCACCGCAGCACTTAACCGCCGATCGGCCTAAAGCGCTCTTCTTTGTGAACTTTCTGTGCGTGCGTGAGGGGGGTTCTCCGGCTTGTTGCGTGGAGGCACTCGGCTATCAGTGCAACGCTGCAGCTGTGCTTGACCTCCACTCTTATCTAACCAAGGACAGATCCCATTGCTGGCTGCAGGGAAGAGGAGACTGAGGCTCAACAGCTACTGCCGGGTTGCACTCCCACTCAAAGTGAAGGAGCACAGAGGTCAGACTCCATCACCGATAATACACCACCACTCTGCCCCAACAGCATCAGATAAGCTTTTGAGGGAGGGTGGGGGTGTTACCACGCCTGCTGTGTGCACGGAGCAGAGGAGGGCTCCCATGTGATGTGTGCTGCTGTAGAGGGTCGAATCATACGGGCTGATACAAAGAAAGTCAATAAGATGATATATTACAATACTCCCTCTCATGATATATTATTGATACGCTGGTCTTTCAAGGCTTTTTTCATCATGGTCAGCCTGAATAGATTTTCTTTCATTACGTCTGACGAGAGGGCGGGGAGAGTGGAGCCAAATGAGCTTTCAAGTTTGACATTTAAAAAAAATGATGGGAACACCAAAGTCATTATAAAACGTATTTATTAGGAATAACCCCTTGAGATGAATCATCTCGTTTTCAAGAGGGTCCTCGTCGGTTGGGTTGTAAGAGATGGATGAAAAAGTAGAACGTTTCAGTGCCATAAATTCAGTGGTTGAATTTCAACATTATGTACTTTAAAAGTGATGTAGTCACAATTCGGTACTAAATTGCTTATTAGATTTAATGAGGGACAATATCAAAAATGCGGTAGAACAATATTGTTCGCTGCTTGTTGAAAACATAATCAGCCCTTTTAAGAATAATTTCTTACTGTCTAGTATATCAAATAGAGCCCAGCTTGTCACTAGTCGTCTTGTATTTAAGAGAAAGCTGCACTTACGTCTGTGTCAGGACCCTTGTCGGCTCCAGGACAGGAGAAGGTGACAAACTCATGGCACCGCTTGTGGACCACAAAACAGCACACTGTGAGAAAGACGGAGGAGACAGTTTTACAATCAAAATAAAACCAAGTGCATTCGACCGCCACATGTATCTCCCGAGGGAACAAAATGTAAACAAACAAGACATTTCGTGACAAATACTTGAGAAACGGAGGGAGAAACAGAAAGACTCCGAGGGAGCGTGCGTGGAAAATCAGCGCCAATCAACCTCAAAGTGGGTTTGACAAGCCTCTCTAGTATGAACACACAAACAAATCCAGACAGACACACAATCTCACATGCGTGCGCGCTCCCACGCTCGCACCCACGCAAACAAAACGGCCCTGCATAATCTTGTTGATTCTGAAGCCGTCGGTCTGTTTGGTTGATGCCGATCGCATCACCGTCCTCTCCCACTGCACGGGGAGCCGCCGCTGCCAAAAGTGACACTGGGAGTGACACGGCCGACGTGACACCTGACAGTTCTCTCACGTCAGCGGCATTTGGACATTTGGCGCATATCTGGAAGCGTTGGACACATGCGTGACGAGCTGACTCCCCTCTCCAACTCTCACACAATGTGTACCCAACTGTATTTCTTCCCTCGCCATTGTTTGAAATACCTCCATCTCTCTCCTTTTTTTTTTTTCATTCTCACACAATCTGTCTGCTTCGCTCATTGTCAAGCTGCCGGCTCGTTCGCGTGCACTTTTGTGCTCTCCCACCATTGTTTCTGTGTGTTTTTTGTCTCGAACTCTGCCAGCTACGTCGCAGTTGCCAGACAATCTGACGGCCACCAGTTAAACGAGGGAAATTTGTGTCCCGAGAAGTCCACTAAGCAGCAGGGATTTCAACCGTCCATGAAAATACTGAACTGTATCTGGATAATTAGATACATTTTTGACGGATAAAATGATCATTAATATATATATATATGCTCATCGGATATTTCTTTTCCCCTGGTGTAGGTGTGAGCTGTTGGCAGCGTAGAGTATGAATTCATCTCTCCCAGTAATAAAGGGGAAACGAAGCAGGGAGGGGGGAGCGAGGGGATGATGAAAAGCTCAGCAGATAGTGGACCAGAGTGATTTATTCCTGCTCTGTAGTGGTCATCTCTGCCATTTGTCATTTATATAATGCACAGCACGCAAAAGAAACCTGTTTTGAACAGGTGTAAGGTGGGAGGCGGGGAGGGAGGAGGGAGGGGGGGGGGGATTTTATCCAGAATGATAAATCTCAACAGCTGGATCGCCCCCGCAGATGTGACAGATCCACTGACCTTGGGAATCCCTCTGTTGCCTTAAGCAGGACACATTTGGGGCGTTTACTGTGAAATATCATCACGATGAGTTCTCAAGCATTTTGGCCAAAAGTTCAAATCTGCAAAACTAATGACATTCCCATCAGCCTGTACTTTTTGCTTAGCGATAAGAGCCGGTGTTGACACGCAAACACGCCAAACCAAGATGTTGAGCATGATAAACATGACATACACGTTAATGCAACACTTGGGTTTCTCTTTTCCTCCCTAGCCAATGTACAACGTGTGAACGACGTCCGCATACTTCCTCTCCCTCCACCCGTCAGCACTCCTCACACCCCCACCAGCCTCACACCCGCTCGTCCAGCGCCGCCTCACTTTAGTGCTGATGTCGGAACAGCTTGAGTGTCTGCTGGAGCTGAGCAGAAAGACTTGTAACTGAGCTAACTGAGATTCTTTTTAAATCTAAAAGCTGTTTTAAGAAAGCAGGACTAGGACACAGAGGCCCTTTGAGAGTGTAACCATCCAAATCCGGGAATGAAGCTGATCTAGACACTTTCCATTTGCACCTGTCAGCCATGTGCTGAATCATCAAAAAAAGAAAAGTTTTCTCTTAATTATAAGAGACAAAACGAGGAAGAATCACACGTGATTTTAATGCCACTATAATAAATCTTTCTAATGACTCCGGGACAAGGACGTAAAAAAGGTAACTTAGTAAGAAGTGTTCCCAGATGGTACAAGTCCTCTCAGAAAGAAGCTGGGAAGCATCGGGAGCAGAGGTGACACAGTGACATACTGTATCGTCAGGGATATTATGATTAATTACTCGGGGCCTTCTTTCACCGGCCTAATTGCACGAGCACAGAGATAATGGGGTTTGGCGTTACAAAGCAGCTTACGCAACACAAGCGCTTCCTTGAGGGGAGTGTGCACGACGGCGAAAAAGTGCATGTCTACGGTCGTCGCCATCCGTGTGCATTTTTGTGGCACGGCTGCTACGCACACTGGGCGGCATTTCTCCACCTCTGCTTCCGCATCCCCTGTTGCTCCACCGCTGATCCTTTAAAGTGAGGATTTAGCCCCGGTCTGATCTGATGAAATTGGTAATCTACCGAGCCCCCGTTAATAAAATGATGCTGCGGCGTTGCCAAGATGGAGGGCTCGCGGTGGAGATAAGGGGGGGGAGGCCGGACACCCTCGGCGCCGGACTAACTCGATACCTTCCAGACGCAGTGGATTGACCAGGTCCCCCCCGAGGGCACCACAACACAAAGCGAACCGAGGCTTTGATCCCCGAGATCCACGGGGAGAAAATGTGCGACGGGCGAGCGGGCGGAGAGGGAGTCGACACCTCCATGGAGGGGGGGGTACGTAGACATTGGTGTGGCGGGTATTCACGGTATTCATATTCTACAGAAAACCATATCCTGCGGAACAACACCCCATTTTATTTGCACAAATAGCGTTGAAATAGGAAAGAGGGGCGCCGTGTGTGCGCGGTCCCCCTTCAGCTCGCGGCAGACGTGGTGGGCGAGCCGACCGCTCAGAACAAATTATGGCACCAGTACCGTAGCCGGGAGTTAAAACCTCTGTAGATAAAACTATCATATGGAACAAATAAACAGAGGCTCCTTCGTAGGAACTAAAACATTTTTTGGTATCGCGTCAACACTAGAAGAGAAATTTATACAACCTCCTCACCATCTGGAAATTATGCAGAAAAGCTATTGAGCTATTAAAGCAATTATAAAGCCCCTCTTCTTAAATTAACACAAAAAAACAAATAGATAGCCCACCTGCTCATTGTGTAAAATGGGGCCTGTGCTCTTTCTGTAAATATTTGTCATTTGAGGCAAGAAAAATGACAGAGAATAAAGGGGGAGGAGAGGCATGGAGTGGGTGAGGGAGGAGTATTTTCCTCTCTTGGTTATTTTTAGGCTTGATTCTGGCCGGGGCTAGAACAGCGTGTACTGAACCCCACGGTGGGGGGTGAGGAGGGGGGGGGGATGCGAGGGAGGGAGGACGTTTCCGCTTCTCGGCTCTACACCTGGCCAATGGACACGTTAAATTTACCGATCAAACACAACGACATATTTCAGGGAAACGTCCACGGGAGCATGAGTGATTTCCTGTGTAAGTGCTGGATGAGAGAGATCATACAATGGGCCAATAGAAGGGCTGCGTCCTCCATACATCACGGAGCAGAACGCCGGCCTGTGTCAAGTTCTCATCAAATTTTGATAGACCTCCCGAGAGGAACATATATCGTTTACCGCTCTGGTCACATAGAGGATCGGATCTGGTTGTAAAGCAAGAAAAGCAGATAGAAAGATCAAATTTGTCTCTCTGTTTGTGTTTGTTTAGGTCCACAGTGGCTCTCACCAGTAGCCGACTCTTGTTAGCCGTCCAGCTGTAAGTGATCCACAAAGTGGGTTGAATCTATAATTTACCACCATTTCCATACCACTGTATTCAGTCCATACCGCGTTTATTAAAACATATGTCTCCACAATATCCATGTCAGTGTCACCGTAGAGGCATAAACTAGTGTACTTCATGCATGTTTAATATCTTTTCCAGGGGTCTCTGACAGCTGGGAGATCCGAGCACCCGTCACATGACCCTCTCTTGAGATCAGTGGTCACATATGAAGTGATTCGATAACAGTTTAGACAGTCAGAGAGGAACCAGCAGTTGTGTTCTGTTTTATGACATAGAATTTTCTTATTTTCTTCTGTGTTTTGTACACTGTTAATCTTGTTTTTATCAAAAAGCTAAATCTTCTCTCACAATATGACTCACAACAACATGAGAACGCCTGTATTTCTTTACTAATATGTATTTTCTCCTTTATCTAGATGTTTGGTGTCAAAATGAACATGATATTTCTGTTGAAATAGTGAAATATTATATAATGTATGCCTGACCTATACCATATCTACTATTGTGTTCACTCATTTCTGTGTTGCATAATCTGACGTCTGTGAAAATAAAATCATGTTTTGTCGCTAATGGCAACAGGTACCAAATATGCCTTCAGGCCTTGACTGGCTTGTGGCAACCTTGGCAGAAGATGGTTTTCTAGTCTGTGACTGACTCTTACAAATATTTCTTGTTTTTGGTTATTTGGATTCTGACAAAATCTTTTAATTTAATTTGAATCTTCTCTGTTCCTGAAAAACGATTATCTCATTTGAACTGTTGTTTTTTACAGTTAAGAACATCCAAGTGAAGCTGATATGTACTTTGAGCAGCACTATATCACCAGACAAGACGAATGTACCGTGCACCTTGTAAGGATGGCGTAGGCTCTACGGTCAACGCATATCATCCATCATTTTTACACCGCTCACAAAATTATTCGGCAATTTTTGGGGAAAACGCGTCACAGAATGTCACCTCCGAATGCAGGGAAAACCGGGTCCAGGTTAGGGATTGGTTAAAACACTGTAGCCGACTAAATGACCCCAGCATGCCACAATATAAGCATCTGTCCTTGTTTCACACCCTTTGGAGATGAAGTATGTGTGATGTATACATTCAAGCAGTGTTTGCCTGGAGATGGAGGAAATGAACAGAGCTGCAGCTACAACAAAGGCCTGGAAACTCAATTTCAGCACATACATTCAATTATGCATGCTATGGGCACACAGAGGACAAAGACACGCGGTGGGGACGCAAACACAGACTTAACGGTGAATACGTGACCTTGCGAGCAACAATAAACCTGTACACAAAGAGCGCTGATGGACTAACAGTCAAAGAAAAGAGTTGTAGGG